ATTTACTTGCTTAATAGTACTAAAATTATTAGAAATAAACATGTGTTATGCACAATTTTATTTTTGAGGAATTAATTTTTAACTTATTTATAAATACCATTTTATTTTTAGTTTAAAAACTTTTTCAGAAAAATGGGTTATGTTTTAGCTTAAGTGTTTGTAAGCACTTCTTTTCTTCAAAATTTACTTTTAAGCGTTTTAAAATTTAAAAACTAAAAAGTAGTGTTTTCCTCCAATATTTTTTAAATTTTATATAAAAAAGTCATTAAAGTAAGTTAAAAAATAAACTCTGCCTGCGGGCCTAAATTGCATTTTTTACTCCTCCTATTTTGGCCTTCAAAGATTGAGTGAAATCTCTGTTTCCTTTTTTCTTTTTTAAATAAAAATGTTTTTATTTTGTGTAATCTTTTGCTAATTGCCTTTGCCCAGTGAGACTGGACTGGGCCATTGAGTTCAGGTCATGGACGTTTTACTTGTGAGTTGTGATTTGTGAATAATGGAACCACTGGATGGATTGAACTTTATGAAATTAGAAGCCCAAGATTAACTAAAAATGGTCATGGGCTTCCTAGGACAGGTCTCCTTCCGATATTAGTTTCTCTTGGGCCTATAGCCTGATTACTGCCTCAACTCAATGTTTTAAGTTATCAAATCACATTGAACACATTTTTGGGTGCTTCACGCTAGTGAGCTATGGTCCAAAATTTAGATCCCAGCCCCAAAACTACCATATGATGTCATTGATCCAAATTAAATAAATCTTTTTCTTCCTGGGAGAGGTGGAATTGAAATTCCTAATGCACCTTAGTATTCCTTGGATTATTAAATTACACAAAAGTTGCAACCAATGCATAGAATTTCATGATTTTGTCGAGTGGTCTTTAAGGAGAGGCCACCTGAGTCCTCAGGATTGGGAGATATAATGCTGCTCTCAGCATGGGGAGAAGGCGTCCATGCAAGCACTCACGCATCCTGTGACATTACTCACCCTTTTGCTTGCATGTGAGATCATCTTTACACATCGCTTAAAATTTTACCTTATATGTGAACTTTGTAGTCTAATACTGTAATATCGGAATATAATTAATTAAATTTTATAAAAAGTACTAAAATATGGTATACAGTATGGATGGAGATAGAGACACAAAAGGGTAAAAGCAAAAGTGTGTTGGTCTAATTAATCAGCTGAATGAAATGGGACTCCAAGCTTTTTAGGTCTTCTTTCTCTTGAATCAATGAGAATACTTTGAGTCACCAAGAAGAGGACAGTAGATAGGAAAGCAAAGGAAGAACAAAGGAAAGAGAGAATGCAAAAAGGGTCCATTGACTCCATTCTCTATGGACATATTATTGTAATTAAATGTATAATTAACAATCTTGTTGGCTTCTTCCTTCAATCTTATACTTTAATTGATGTTTCAGCCCCCCTAAACAAAATTAGTTTCTTCCAATTACCAAATTTGTTAGCTTGCTAAGTTATGTAAAAACTTTCAACCTCAAATTTTGAAGTTAGTGAGATAAATCTTAATTTTTTTTTTCTTGTCTCATTAATATATGATCAAAAAGCTTATCAAAATATATATACAATTTTGGAGGTTTTATAAGATTAATCATATGAACTTTTTATAATTAATCCAATGATTAATTTTGAACTATTTCGATTTGAAAACAAGAAAAACAAAGGATACCAAATTTTGTTTAGTAAAACAAAGAAATTAAAGTAGCTATACTTAGGATTTCATGTTTCTTTCTTTTTGCTGTCTGTATCTCTGGTCTGCAGCATAAGAAAATTTTTTTTTTCAAATTGTTTGACCATACACGGCAATAATTGATTACTGCATACAAGAAAATTAGATAAAAGCTGAAGTTTGTACCAGCAGTACAAAGGGCAAAAGTCATAGAGGTTACACAAATCATGTTGAATATAGTTACAGTCAAAAGATTTTATGAGTCAGAATTTATTTAAACACATATTTATAAAACTTATCACTCATTATTAATTTTTAATTCCAAGTACGGTTGAAAATTATAATACTACATTAGTAATATATTTTCAATAATTGGAATCGAGAATAGTGATGGCTAGTTTTTGTAATACTTATACAAGTAGTAAATACACCATGCTGTTGTTGGTAAAATTTAAACCAATAATTGTTTGTCTTGTTAGTTGTTAGGAATGATTTCATCTGCATTCCCATTGGCTATGTAGTCTCCAAAGAGTTAACTTAATTAGATGATTGTTTTATCTGGTGAGTTTTGACTTTTCAGATGATCTCTTCCTCCGGAGTAGGCATTTTTTACATTAATTGCATGGATATGAGTAAAAATGGGCCTTCTTCTACTTTGGCGAAGAATCCTAACAATCATTGATCTAATTAAAGACGGACTTTCTACATCAGGACTAAAGAGATTAATAAGAAATTACCATGGTTGTATGTAGGAAAGACATATGAACTGAACTGTCCGCATGGCATGGTCTTAGTTCTGTTGCTGCACATTGAAGTACTTGTGTCATATTCAGTAGACAAAAGGACTTAAACCAAAGAAAGGGGCTTGATTAATTCTTCTCCATCATTGCTCTGAAACATGGAATCTCTAATCTTCAAGGATAAAAACTATATGGAGGTTTTTCAAATATGTTATGCCCAGAAGATACTGTGAAGCACAGGCTACCATATGCTATGTAGCATGTAGAGAAGTAAAGCCCACCTCACCTAACGTAAGGACATGAACCCAAGCTGTCAGCCCTGCCTTGACAAGGGAAAGACTATTAATAATACCTTTTGTATCGTTCGAATTTCAAATTTTGCTGTAACACTCTTTCTTTTTAAGTGACAGTCTCTCTCTGAGGCCAATTTGTTTTGTATATTAGCTATATACCCTACTTGTTTCTTTCTTCTAAGAAATTGGCTTGTATATATAAATTTAATGCTTGGAGGGGTCGAAAGGAACTGCTTGAATTGTCTCCATGTATTTGTGATGCTTCTGGGAATGTGACTTTTAATGGGTCATGTTTTTTCCTCTATAGCTGTATCTGCAAAGGGATATGCCCCACTTCTCATCTAAGCATAGTAACATTAAGAAATGCTATCTAAATTAACTTTAAAATGCTACATAATGTAGGGAGATTTATCAATGACATTGATTATACCTATCCACATAATAAATGAGATCTATTTTGGTATTAGGAATTTTGTCAGAAATGTATACCTAGATAAGATATCACAGATACAACTTGATATAATAGGTGCATCTCATATTCATGCTCAATTCCAACCTCATGTCATCCTTCATTGACCCTAAATCTTGATCTCTAAATCATCCGAGGGTTTAGCCGGAGCACACCTTGGCACCCTTCACTTGCAAGTCTTGACACTACAATTTTGATTGAGGACTTGAGGTATCCTATTGCGTTAATATCAGTTAGAACAAACAAAACCCAAATGATTAAGGTGGAAATTTCCATGAATCCGATTATGAAAGCGCTGGTGGGGTTTTTCTTGTCTAAATCAAGTGATCAGTACTAGTTAAAAAGCAAATTTACTTCAAAGAAAAGGTCACAAAAGCAGTTAGTATAGGGGAAAGTACCCAAATGGGCAATTATCACAAACGTGATTCACGAGTGATGTACAGACTACAGAGTGTCCTGTCAGGTTTTTTCTGAAACAGATGGGGGATGATGCCTCACTCATTTGCTTAATCATCTCCAATATGATGGGATCCTCAGTAAAATTGAGGCCTAAAACCTTACACGATTCATTTTCATTTTGTGTTTCTATTACTCTGGTGAAAAATTGTCCCCATACCTTCTCCTAGTTGTAAAATTTACTAAATCTCTCCCCATGCTTCTCAAGTTACATTTTTTGTCATCAAACAAAAAGACTAATATATTAATAATTACAAAATTTTGGTACAAATTCAAAATAGAAACTTAAAATAAATAAAACTGAGAAACACACAAAACAATACTCAATAAACATAAACGTTATGTTTTAATATTCAAATCTAAAACTTCTAACTTGGCATTGAAACACTTCTTGGGGCACCCTAATAGAGATTATTTACTAATCTAATCTTATTATTTTGTTTAGTATGAGCATGTTTGCGTTAAATCATGGTAGAAATTGGAAAAACATTGACTAATGGAGTCAATCCCATGTGGAAGTAATAATGACTTGGAGATGGCAAAGACAAAAACTTTAGGGAAATGTGATTAATCTATATACACCACATTAATTATGTTGGCGAGAGCTTCGAGTTAAAACAGGTTGTGGTTTCAAAAGTTGTGGAAGATTAATTAAAGAATCTTCCCTTTCTAAGCACGAAGGTGCATTTGGACACCAAAGTTCAACAAGCGAAATTTTTTTTAAGGTCCAAAACCAAACTCTTAAAAGGAGAGGAATATGGGAAAAAGTGGGCACAAAAGCCAGTTTGCCAGCTACTAATCTTCTGCACACAACGGTAGAATTTCAGTGTGTATTTTGCTCTGGATTTAGCGATACTTCTCTAAGATCACCGGTGCTTATTGCGGATAAATGAATGGTATACATCCGTGGAAGGACCACATTCTCCCCTTCCCTTGTAAGACGGTACAAATCAAGCAACATAGAATTTAATCCTTCTTCCTTAAACAACAATTAACATACGAAACTTAATAAAGTGTTCAAAAAAAGGAATCAGAAGTGTCCCATGCGGCATCCATCTGGTTCACTTGAAAGGTAGAGACTAGAAATACTAGAACATTAGGGTTGTGGGTTCGAGATTGAGTCAATGATAAAATTGTCATACAAAAAGGACTAATATCAAACTCCTAAATAAAAACTATTGGATGTGAATAGTTTTCAATATCTTGGATTCACCCATCATCTAATTATTTATATTATGTAGTTTAATGCAGTTTGAATTGCATAATAATTTCTTGTAAAATAAAAAACAGAAATTTTGTTGTTTTCTTTTCCTAGAAGAAGAGTGGGAGGGAAAGCAAGGTTCAACACGTATTAAGTTAATGAGCTGCTGTTGGAGAGACTGAGAGCACTACGAAGGGAAGTGAGGACTTCACAGTAGGCGGCAGCACAGGGCTTCTTTTCCTGCACAGAAAGCGAAGCATCTCAATCCCATCATTATAACTCACTCTTTTCCACATTTATTTCTTTCTCATTCCCCTCTTGACCCTTCTCAATTGCACATAATTTCAACAAAGTGAATACAACTTGAACAAAAACAGAGGAAAACAGAACTGATACCAATATGGAGTTCAACCTTGAGGACCCGTTTACATGTTTGAATCAACACGAATTTGACTCAATCACAGCTCTCTTCTCTGCAGAATTTGATCATATGTCTTCGCATGGCTTCGCGCAATCTTTAAAGACCAGTGACATCCTTGCCTCATTTCGTCAAGAGGCCATTGCTCTCTTTTTTCAGGTAAAAAGCATAACGCAGGACTCGATTTTTTCTTGCTTTTCTTTGTACTAAAGATGTTAGGGTTAATATTTATCAGATGCAGTATTCTTGCAATTTTGATCCATTCACAACCTACCTAGCTGTTAACTACATGGACCGGTTCATATCCAGAAAAGATATTGCGGTACTTACTTTGCCTAAAATTTCCAAAGGTGTTAGATTGTATTATATAATTCTCTGTTTGATTCATGAGAAGTTGGTGGTGATTTTTGCAGCAATGTAAGCCATGGATTTTAAGGCTTCTGGTCATATCTTGCCTTTCTCTTGCTGCAAAGATGAGGGAAAAAGACTTTTCTTCCTTGGATTTCCAGGTAAATAATCTCTGTTTAATCATGGATCTCTCTTGGATTTTCATTTTTTTTTATGCTTACGTAAAATGTTAACAATGAAACAGAAAGAAGGATTCATCTTTGATATCCAAACAATTCAACGGATGGAGCTTCTCATTCTTGATGCTTTGAATTGGAGAATGAGGTCGATAACGCCATTCTCCTTTCTGTGTTTCTTCATGTCATTATTCAAACTCAAAGATCCACCATTCACACAAGCTCTCAAAGCTCGAGCTACAAGCATCATTTTCAAAACTCAAATGGGTAACAATTGAAACATAGAATCTGTTTTTACTAGTTAGTCAATGTCTCTGTTCCTAAACGAGGGACTCTGTTTTTTTGCTACAGAAATCAATCTGTTTGCCTTCAAGCCATCGACAATGGCAGCATCAGCCCTTCTTTTAGCATCCCATGACTTATTTCCGTTGCAGTTTCCATCTTTCAAATCTTCAATTTTTTCATGTGAATATGTATATAAGGTAAGCAAACATTCATTCATTTTCTTTTCACTACATTCAGACCATTATTTGACTGACATTAATGTGTCTGCTTCGGATACAGGAAAACCTGTTAACTTGCTTTAATGCAATGCAAGAGATGGTGATTAATGAAGGAAACGAGTCAGCACTGGATTCGGTTTCGAGTACAGGAACCCCATTAAGTATTTTGGAATGGCCTTGCAGAAAGGCAGAGAGCCAGAGCACCACAACCACCACCTCTGCCACTGTAATGCCAGGGAACAGAGAAAGCAAGCAACGTAAAATTAATGGTTTTTGCAGTGAAAGTAATCGGGTCCAGACTTCGCAGATTCAACAGTGATGATAAGATTGAGATAAAAATTGGTCCAATATTTGGAACCACAAAAATTTACCTTGTCCCTCGATTTGTATTTGCATCTTTTTTTGACTCAAAATGTAAAAGAAAATTCCCAAAAAAAAACCATAATAAGACTTGGAGAAGAAATAAAAAAGGAAAACGGAAAGGCCATATTGTGTGTCATGTTTTTCTTCAATGTAGTGGGGGCTATTGAGAGAGAACGCGAAGGACCAGAAGACATAAGTTCGACATAAAAAATAACAAGGCTTGTCTTGTGTTTTATGTTTTTTGGTAGTAGTAGATTTTGTGTAGAGAAAATGCTCGCAACATCCCTTTGTTGCACTTTTCTTCAACACTTGGGATAAAATTGGTCTACTCATTGATAATTTTAAATTTAAGTAATTTAAAACTGTTTTATGGATTAATAATAAATATATGTTACATAAATTAATTATATGGTAATTACTGATAAAAAAATATAGAAAAAGAGCATCCCTAACACCTTTTTGTTGTCTAATATATCTAACAGTATTATTAGTTAACAAGCCACATTAATAATAAAGATCTTATGATTCTTGTCATTGATAGACATTTCAACTGTTGAAAAATCCATTAATATCATAACTTGTTACATATTGGGCATGGCATTCATTACTGTAAAGATAGTCTGTTGTGTTACATGCATATAGGCAATGCGGCATCCAAATTGAGAAAATTGTCATATTAAAAATTTTTATTAGATTTCATACTTTAACATATAACACCTCGGCATCATACTTGAGCATGAAAAGCAAAAGTTTTTACCATTTGTACGTGAACTGAGATACGACTTCTCAAGTATAACGAGAACGCAGCAAAAAATTTTCCACTACAAATTGAAGACTACATTAGGTGAGTGTGGTCTGTCTCTTGATTTCTAGCAAATTGACAATATATATTTAGATTGATCCCAAAAAGAAAAAGAAAAGAATGGATTAGAATAGGAAATTGGGTTTTCTTGGAAAGGCAAAAATGGGATTGAATTCTGGAGTGAAAGATTGGCGGGAAAAGAAGAAGCAGAAGCAGAGTGGGGATAGGAGAGAGGAGGAAGCGTTGAAGGCACGTAGCTGTCTAGAAAGATTATAGTATCTTTGTTGAGAAACTAAACAAAACTACATGGATAAAAGCGACTGGGGACAAATTCTGTGTCTTATCGTCGTGCGTTGTTGGGGAACTGCGAAACTCAAGGCTAAGGAATCAATGAGGTCCTGCAGTCTGTACCGCACCTATTGGGAACTTATTGGGCCAGTGGCAGGGTTCATGGTCCTAATTAAGTTAGTTAGGTCTCTTGTATATGAACCATTGTGTTGGATTGATGACGAAGATCTGGGAGTCCAAGCCCATGTTACCTGCATAACCCAGCGGCGGGGTTAGCACCCATTACCAATTAATGGGTTTGGTTATTATTATCATAAAAAAAATATTAAGATCATTAAAACTTCAGTTATTTTCTTTAAATAGTATCTAAAAATATTATTTTATTAATTGAATTGATTTTAATTTATTAATAAATCAATATTAATCATTTTGTCAACTATTAGTTAATAATAATAATTATTATTATTAGTTATTTTTATAAATAAAATTAAACAGAATTAATATTTTTATAAAAGGTGGTTTTACAGTTTTGGACCTTTTGGCGGCGTTAACATTCTTATCAATGGCCATAACCATGCCTATTATCAAGGCCTGATTATTCGATGATTAATATTTTATAATTTAATATAATTTGAATTACAAAACACATTTTTGTTTTATTTTCCCTTATTTGTTTTAGAGGATGTTCAAATTAACTGTTTAAATGTAGTTGATATTAGAGCCGACAGATAATAACTGTTTGCGAAATGACAAAACATTCCCTTAATAAGTCAACATTCTCAACAGAATAGTTTGATTTAGTTGTCCCCCAAGATAAAAATGCAAAGACAGGTTTCAATTATTGTAACAAATGAAATTTTCAATAATACGAATAAAGTGGGGTAACTAAATTGGATATAAAACACCAACACTGCAACAAACATGAACAAAAACAGCTGCCAAACAATACAAGAACAGACTTTAACTTGGTATTCAAATGTTTGCTAGGAAAGTAGAATGGAGTCCTTATTGTGGATTAAATATCAAGCAAACAAAGTGAACTATGACACTAACTCAAAATACTGCTCTGAAGGAGATTCCCTCTTCCACCAGACTCCGCCATCATCACATGGGAAGAAGGTCAGCCTGGGGCAATCAACTTTCTCCAGATAAATCAAGTGTGGAAATGACTTCTGCAGGTCTCTCCAACACATCTTTAACTCGCGCAAAAACTTCAAATGTAATCTCACTGCCATCCACTCCTCATCCTCCCGAGATTCCAGTTCTTGAAGATTTCCTCCTATAATGGACAGCTTCTTGAGTTCCTTCAGCTTGTTTGGACTCAGCCAATTTTGTTCTTTAGTTCTAGGAAAACATTTGAGGGTCAGTTTCTCTAGGTTCTCAGGAAGTCCCATTGAGTCTTCTTTTTGATCTGCTGAATTTGAAGGCTTGTCATGTAAGGAATTCCCACCCCATTCTATTGAAAGTTTCCGAAGTGATGTAATTTGGTGGAAATCCTTCATATCCTCCGGAGTTGGAAAATCTTTCTCACTAGTATAGATGCTCAATTTCCTAAGTTTCTTCAACGCAACCAACTCATGAAACTTACATGTATATTTGCTTTTCTGATCACTAATCACAAATCCCTTAAGGACCTGGAGTTCTGTGAGCGAAGTGAGCCCCTTCGGCATGTTATCCAACATGTAACAGTTGGAAGCATCAAAGTGTGTCAGCTTCTTCAGTAGGAATATCTTCTCCGGAAGAACCTGTAGGTTGTGACAGGCACTGAGATCCAGAATTCTCAAGTTGGGAACCATACAAATGGCATCAGGAAGTTGAGTAATCCTGGAGACACCTTCAAGGCTGAAGAACCTTAGATATTTCATATTCTTCATACCCTTCAAGAATTCAGTGTTTTCAACTTCAATGTGCAGCGCGGTAGTGCTCTGCCACCTACCTAGAGAAATAACATTAACATTTTTCAACCTGGAGAACCACTCAACATTAAAATCAGGATAAGGATCATTGACATTGAACAAAGCATGCAGCTTTTCCGGATCACCCTTCTTCACCAATGCTTCCTGAGAAGTTCTATCGTCAGTCTTCACCAAACATGCTGTGAGAGACGAATTAAAGTCTGCAGTTGGATTTCCAAATTCATCAAAACTAAACAATGCCACCTTACTGGCGAGACTAACCAACACAGAACGAACTAAAGGATGCATCCTGTAGCCAATCAATCTTCGCTTTCTGATGATTGGCTCAATGAATCCTTTCAACAACAACTCCTTCATTGTATCATTTGCAAATTTCTCAGCTGAGCCTGACTTTTTCTCAGGATCCACAAAGCCCTCTCCAACCCACCAATATTTCAGCATTCTCTTCTCAATCACCACATTTTCAGGGAATACAGTAAAATACAACAAACAAAGCTTGGATTCCCGTTCAAGGGTTGAAAACCTATTCTCAACATCTTTAAAAGCTGGATCACTACTAAACATTCCATTTTTATGTAACTTGCGCAATTCATCAACAAGACGGCCTACATTGATCTCATTACCTGCTTGGTTGTGACGACCATCAAAATCCGACATCTTGCTCAGCAATGGAATCTGGAGCTTTAACCTCACGATCATCTTGCTAAGGTTGTGAATTTTGGATTGGAGAGATTTGGGATGGAACAAATCTTCTGACTGTGTTATTTTCTTGCATATACTCTCAAGACTGTTCCCTTGTTGTCGAAGATCTTTAATTTGGTTGATGAGAGAATCTTCCAACTCCTTGAGTTTCATGAAAGAATCTTGGATGTAACTGAGATCTTTCACTAATCTTCCCAACTCACCGTGAAGCCGAACCTTCTCTCTTCGGATGGAATCGGAACTGCTATGGTCTTTGCTGCCGCCATCTTTATTATCACCGTCATGCCCATTTCGATGGTCGTGGGTGTCACAGCATCCCAAACCCCAACAGCTGACATTTTCATCCGGGGTTTTCTGGTTATCGGCTCCGCTACTGTTGTTTAAGTTGGTACTATTGTTGTCGGCGTTGATTACCTGCTCCTGGCCGCCACCATCACCACTGGTTGTTGTCTTGTCCCTTCTTTCGCCGCCAGTTTCGACGATTTCATCATTTTCCCCACGTTCTCTGCCACCGTCACTACCAACTTGGGTTATTTCGCCGGTTTGTCCGCTGTTCGAGTGGTCATCATTGATCACACCCTCACTTCTGCTTTCACCGCTCCCTTTGGCCTCACCGGTACCGCCACCATTTCCTCCGCCGCTTTCCCTGGGGGTTGGGTGGATATCATCCCTAGCATGTGACAGAGATTCGATCAAAGAAGGTATGATACCAATGATTTGCTGAACGGTCAAGATCTGGTTAGGTTGAGAAGAATCCGACATTGTTGGATGACTTGGATCATTCCATCATCTGGGAGGAGGCAAGTTGCAGAGGATAGCATGGGAGCAAAGACTGAGAATAAGATGGAGTCAACTAAAACAAGCAAAGTGAACCCACGGATTCGATAAGTTGCTGACAGCTCATGTGGGACCCATAAATTCGATAATTACTGACACTGGAAAATGGTTAGAGATTCACTCTGTTTTTTATTTTTATATTTTTAACATCGTTATATTTATTTATTTACTAATAAAATTTATTTATTTTATATTTTTATATCTTTAAAACACTATTTGTTATATACTACTAATTATTTTCTAATTTTTTTTAAAAATAAAATTAATTTTTTTATTTTAAAAATAAATGTTATGTGGTAAGTTTTTAGTAATTAATTTTAACTTAAATTTTATTTTTTATTATAAAATTTTATTATTTTAACAAAAAAAATAATTGTTACTTAATAATTTAATAATAATACAGATGTACAGACCCTTAATAGTGAAGTCAATGTCGGCTATATTGTACAGAACAGTAGTTCTTCTGAAAGTTAGAAGGTTTCCCTTTGATTTTGGGGATGGAGATGGAGCGATATCTGCTGGAGAAATTCAGCAAGAATCTTGCCGAGAATCCGACTGTCCATTGGCATAACCGGTTTTCTAAACTGAAGGATTTAATTGAACAACTCATCGCATCCTCGCCGTCTCCGGGGAACGATGCGGCCATCAGGGAAAAGCTTTACCGCCTCAACAATCTGTTTGCCGAATGCCGGATGCTGTCATATTCATGCAGGTTCCTTCCAGATCTACCGGCCCTCTATAATATCAAGACAAATTTGAATAAGATCAAGGAGGAGCTCAAGGAGGAGCTCACAAAGAGGCTCAAAGATGGAGCAGATGTTAATGGAACCGCCGGTTCTCCAACCGAGCACGGCCAAGCAGGGCAGTCAGATGAAGGGGAAACTCTCCGAGAGACTACGAAGTATGTGGATGCATCCAAGGTTCACGGATTCGAAGCCGAAGTGATGTCCCTGCTGAAATTACTTGTATATCAACGAGGTGATGAGGGTGATGGGTTTAAGGCGATCGGAGTTGTGGGTAAAGAAGGGATCGGGAAAACCACGCTCTGCCAAGTGTTTCTCAATCAGCCGGAGGTAAAGAAATATTTCCAGCCAAGGATTTGGGTGTTCATGGGAGGATTGCCCCAGGAGGAGAGAGATAAAAAGGTAAGAATCGTCGAGAAAACGTTGGACTGCCTTGGACTTGAAGAAGAGATCATCAAATCCATCTCTACAAGCAACGACCTTCAACTTCAAGAGCTAATTCATGCTCTTCACCTGCAATTAGTCCGGAAAAGGTACCTGATCGTGTTCGATGCCGTGGACGATGCCGTGGGCGAGGCTGATGATTGGTACGGACTATTAAATTCCCCCACTATTGATGATAAAGGGAAACTGACAGCTGATTATCTTGCAAATGGGTTGCCGAAGGGTTATGGAGGAACGGTGATTGTCACAAGCAGGTACGAGGAAGTGGCTAGAATGATGGTCGGAGGAGAGGAAAACTTGTACCGGATGGGTCCGCTTGCGGATAAAGACAAGTGCTGGAAAATATTCAAAGAAGAAGTGCAGAAAGATGAGGTGGTTCTCAATGTCCCAAATGAGGAAGATCTTAAAAGGGAAGTCATACAGAAGAGCGCCGGCGTTCCTCTGGCGGCGAAGATCTTGGGACAGATATTGTATGACCATGAAAAGAACAAGTCCAAGTCCAACGACCAGAGACAGCAATCGTGAATGTTCCAATATCTCTGTTGTTACGTTAGAGTTTATCAATGATTTTTTTTTTTTTTTTTTTTTGAGGTTACATGAGAAAGATGTGGTGTTCCCTCCTTGTTTCTCTGTTAATGTTCATGAATGATTTTCTTAAGAGAAGAAAGAAAATTGAAGTGTTCAGCAAAACAAGCTTTTTTAACAGCCCATGTGTTACTTGGATATAGTCTTACCTGATACTCGTAGACATTGCGGTTTACATGAGCTTATGAAATTAGTAGGGCCAAAGCTGTGCATACTTACGTTATTCAAGAAAATAAAAATGAAGTCTACTAACTTTGCCAAAATTCTATTACAATCTTATTCAATCCAAAGGGCAATTTGATAAAGAGAAGAAAAGGAG